GAGGAGATGCATAAATGACCTTGGTAACACCAAAGATGTCAACGCGGACTCTCATTGCTTGTTGATGACATTATCCATCCATAAGACGCGTATAGTTGTAGAGATCCACCAAAGGAATTGCCGATAATCAGAACCACGAGATGATCGAAAGCTTGCTGACGCCAAAGGTATAAACCTGCTCCTTGTTGCTGACATGATCGATCGATAAGGGACCTTTGTTTCAGGAGGTTCACCAAATTGCAGGTAATGGGAAGCACCAGATGGATGATGGGATGAGGGTTGGATATGGCACCAAAGATATGCGTGCTGTTGTTTGTTGCTGATACAATCCACTCACAAGAGACTTGCATTGGCTGACATTCTCCAGAGAAATCGCCCGTTGCTTGGTAACCAACCACCGAGACGCAATAAAGGCTGACACCACCAAAGACATAAACACTTCCCCATGGCTGACATGATTCACCTATAAAAGATGTACCATAAACAATTGTCCAAACTCAACCAACAATACTTAGCAGTCATAGCTGTGATCTTGTAAACTCCAAAGCATCAAAAGACAAGCAGCTCTCTGCAATGGTCCCTCTAAATAATGGTAGGCGTTTCAGCAAAGGTCTCCAAAAAGCATGAGAGTCATACGTACCTGAATCACGCAATCATCACCGGCAGACTTGGGACCCAAATAGGCCATCAGGATGTAAAGTAATAATAAAAGCGCACAGCCAAAGAAACGTCATTGTACCGGTACTCTCCTGTGGATCGACGCGATGAAGTGCACCAATAGAGATACCATCTTCTCTCTAAAGGCAAGGAGATCAATAGCCGTAAAACGATGGAGCCGTGCGAACAGAGGATGCATTTTTAAATCCCTGAGGCCGCAACATGAGTCGCACTGTCCCCGGGCACAACATGTAGAGCTCCACAGGAAAATGTAGTACAATGACATCCTTGACGTGCAGCCTTGATAATAATAGTATTGCTGAGAGAGGATCTGCCACTGTATGGAGTTTGGTAAGTCCACTTAAATCCGACCAATCCCACAATGATGCACTGTACCTTGAGGTATTCCCAATACCATTCCATCGATGCTTGCAAATAACCTTGTATCCATCCGATCCAGTATGTGCTGCTGCTGTTTTATGGTAAGGTTGATTAATTAAGTGGTCCTGCATTGTAGATCCAATACCACGCATACCATTGAGCCAACGTACAGCATCCTTGCTTTGAGATCCGTATCTTGTTGCTGCCAGAGGTACCATCATCCAACATGTTCACCTACCATAAACGCAATGTGAGATAAGAAGCAAACCCAATCCACACACTTTTGTTGTCAGCATACCCAAAAGAGGCAATGCAAAGACGTCTTGAGAACTCTCATTGTGGACAACTCGGTAAGGAATGCACACGACGCCGTGAACCATGGTGATCACAAGGAATTGCAACCAAATACACCATCCGAAGGCAATACAATAATCAACCTGCAACGCCAAGGTATGCCACCATATGTACCATACTCTCATTGGATCCTGAAATTGGCATCATAAGAGATATCCACCTTCTCTCTGTAGGCAAGGAAATCAATAGCCGTACTTGGATGGAGGCCGTGCGCACAGCGGATGCCTTTTCAAATTGGCCTTGCCATCGCATCTTGAGTCACACTGTTTCCGGGCCAAAATTCCCCAGGAGAGCATAGTACTATACAATGACATCCTCGATGTGCTGATTGATCAAAATAGTATCGCCGAAAGAGGCTCTGCCACTGTATGGCGTTTGGTAAGTCCATGAAGGGACAAATTCCATAATGAACACTCTTACCTTGTGGTATTCCTCAATAGCATCATTGCCTCAAATAAAACCGTATCTCCATGTCATCCATATTGTCTTGCTGCTGTTTCACTGTAAGTCTCGTTAATTCACAGGTTTCGCTTTGTAGATCCAATACCACGCATACCATTGAGCCAACCATACAGCATTCTTGCTTTGAGATCCGTATCTTGTCGCTTCCAGAGGCACCATCATCCAACATATTCAACCTACCATAAACGTAACGTGAGATAACAAGTAAAACCAATCCACACGCTTTTGTTGTCAGCATACCCAAAAGAGGCAATGTGAAGACGTCTTGAGAACTCTCATTGTGGGCAACTCGGTAAGGAAGGCACACGACGCCCTGAACCATGATGATCACAAGGAATTGCAACCAAATACACCATCCGAAGGCAATACAATAATCAACCTGCAGCGCCAAGGTATGCCACCATATGTACCATACTCTCATTGGATCCTGAAATTGGCATCATAAGAGATATCCACCTTCTCTCTGTAGGCAAGGAAATCAATAGCCGTACTTGGATGGAGGCCGTGCGCACAGCGGATGCCTTTTCAAATTGGCCTTGCCATCGCATCTTGAGTCACACTGTTTCCGGGCCAAAATTCCCCAGGAGAGCACAGTACTATACAATGACATCCTCGACGTGCTGATTGATCAAAATAATCGCCCAACCAGAGCCTGACCTAATATTTCTTTCGTAAGCACACTTGAAGGGACAAATTCCATAATGGACACTTTACCTTGTGGTATTCCTCAATAGCATCATTGCCTCAAATAAAGCCGTATCTCCATGTCATCCATATTGTCTTGCTGCTGTTTCACTGTAAGTCTCGTTAATTCACAGGTTTCGCTTTGTAGATCCAATACCACGCATACCATTGAGCCAACCATACAGCATTCTTGCTTTGAGATCCGTATCCTGTCGCTTCCAGAGGCACCATCATCCAACATATTCAACCTACCATAAACGTAACGTGAGATAACAAGTAAAACCAATCCACACGCTTTTGTTGTCAGCATACCCAAAAGAGACAATGTGGAGACGTCTTGAGAACTCTCATTGTGGACAACTCGGTAAGGAAGACACACGACGCCGTGAACCTTGGTGATCACAAGGAATTGCAATCAAATACACCATCCGAAGGCAATACAATAATCAACCTGCAGCGCCAAGGTATGCCATCATATGTACCATACTCTCATTGGATCCTGAAATTGGCATCATAAGAGATATCCACCTTCTCTCTGTAGGCAAGGAAATCAATAGCCGTACTTGGATGGAGGCCGTGTGCACAGCGGATGCCTTTTCAAATTGGCCTTGCCATCGCATCTTGAGTCACACTGTTTCCGGGCCAAAATTCCCCAGGAGAGCACAGTACTATACAATGACATCCTCGACGTGCTGATTGATCAAAATAATCGCCCAACCAGAGCCTGACCTAATATTTCTTTCGTAAGCACACTTGAAGGGACAAATTCCATAATGGACACTTTACCTTGTGG